TGTATTCACATTATAAAGAGATATGTCAGTTAAGATTTTATAATATATTTATATTTAAAGCAAATATATATTTATTCCACTACACACAAATAGTTGGTGTAGTAGGTAGGTTTTATTTCTTTCAGTTCATAAATAAATTAAACGAAAAGGCGAGTACATTAAACTCTTACACAGCGCTCAGGAAAAACAACTCCTGAGATTAGCTTTTAAACCACTTGGTGTTAGCCATATGCAAATTCATGTTCCCTTTATTTCAATAGTAACTCACACCCACACAGAGCAGGAGAATTGCTGCTGGACGGGAGTGGGAAGTGAGCCTATTATTTGAGGAATCTCTTTCACGTTGTGCGCTGGCTTTAAATACCACCGTTTAATTGCTGTGTCATGACAGGATAATTACCAACTAATCAAGGGCATCAACAGGCCTGCAGACCGCAAAACACTATTCGGTGTGTTGCCACGATTCTGTTGGGAATTGTGGTTGCTGTTTGGTGGAAAAATAGCGATGGAAATAATATGAACATTAACTAAAAAGATAGAATAGTGGCATAGACATTCAAAGAGAGGGAAAGGTATTGCTTCAACATGCATCCCTTCCAGCTTTGGTTGAGTGCTAATGCACTCCTCACACCTAGCCAGACCACAGCAGTAACACAAGCCATGTGTCAGATGTTTAAGGGTTCTGACAAGTCTCTGTGCATCTGCTAAAAAGCGGCATTTCACAGCTTTTCTGTGATGCAAATGGCCATCATTTGAAATTCGATGAATAATTATTTGTCTAGAGTCATTCAGCCTTTAGCTGTGTTTAATAAATACACTGATGCACTTATCATGGGTTTTGTTGCACATTTTTGCTCACATTATGAATGCAGTGTGCAAAACCTGCATTTTAAATACAGACCCTGTCAAATTTTTCCAACCTTGAGCTTCGACTGATGTTTCCAAAAACTAAAAATCCAAAGACACAAAAAACATAAAATCATGCATGGTCACCTGTTGGGTAAAGAAAGAGCTAAAAAAGAAAAGAAAAAGGAGTTTGGAAAAAAAGAGAGGTACATTTTAGTGATATTCTTGAGTACTGAAGAAATCAGCATGTTTCACAGGATTGTTGGTTGGCTGCGATTTCTGCCCAGCTGAAGAGGTCTGTGAAACTGGATGCATTTCAGGTGCTAAGAGAGATGAGAAACCTGTGTAATAGCCAATGTAGAAATGTGCTGATCACTAAAATAAGGAGATAAATGGAGATAAAAACCTTTCATAACACTGAATTTTCAGTGTAAGGTCTGCCTATTTTTATGCAAAGGTAAATATTCATCAACAGTGGTAAACCAAGACTGCAATGAATATCAGACCTTTACAATGAACCCCTGTTAGCTGGTTTCAGGTCTATTTCCTTTTAATCCACTTTCATTATTGTGATGTTAAGCGTGCTTCCATTCCCACAACGTTTACATGCACTGGATAGATATTAAACAGATGAAATATCTGACTACCAATTCTTGACATAGATGGCCATCCTGTCTCTATACAAATTTTTTTCACGTGTTTAGTTAAAATTTGCTCTTGGTCTGTTTATATATTTATATTATACGAACAAAATTATTAAGCCACAACTTTTAACTCTTTGAATTCAGGTGTTTTCTGTCCCGTTGCCATGGTCATGGGGCCACCACTCTACCTACTGAGCTATCCCTGCCCCACATAAAGACCACATAAAGTTACAGCGTGGGGTTTGCTGAGGTGCTTAGTGTTTAAAAGTTGCCAACCTCTGCTGACTCGATGACTGCAGAGCTCTAAGAGCTCTGGCATTAACATCAGTACAAAAACTGTGTGCTGGAGGTTCACGGCATGGGTTTCCATAGCTGAGCAGCTCCTGTAGGTGGAATGTGTTCATGGCCTAGTATTTCTTTTCCACAGTGTATAAGGAGTTACGATCTTTAATTCCAGGAAATATTCCTGCTACATTTCCCCACAGTATTCAGTGAATTGGGGACAAAGTTCATTCAGATACATTTTGATCTGTTGATCTGATACATTTAACTGTGACAAATTTACAAATAAGCAAAAGGGGAGCGGGGGAATTAAATTAGCAGGGGGTCAAATACTTTTTCATGGGACTGTACTATTAAAAATATTATAAACCAAATCAAGTTTGTGGTGCAAAATCTTGGACTGAATAATATAGTGAATAGTAATAGAGCTGTTAAATAAAAATAAAAGGACAGAAGGATAAAGTTGTACAAAATTTTAATTTAAATACCTCAAAACTGTACTGAAACACAGTCATTGACTAACTGAGTTAATTTTCACCACTGGGAAATGTTAAAACATGGAAGAATCAGATGAGAAATACTATCAAGGCAAGTCAAATCATAATCAGGAATTGTCCATCGATAAAACAGAGATAATTAAATCTGCAAAACATTTAGGTTCAGAGAGAGAAGCTAAAACATGTTTTCATGCTTAGTGCAAGAATACTTTCCCACCTTGGACCATAAAGATCTGAATTGAACAAGTAAGGGTTTTCTATGCCTCTATCAGAACAACAAACACAAAAGAAATTCACAACCTTTAGATTGGTTGAGGATCTGCTCACTGCAGAGCTCAAATAGATCCCAGGCGGCAGTCTGCATCTTCAGGGTGGTGGAAAGTATACGTGCTTGAGTTGCAAGTTGCTATATTCCTGTAGTATTTCGAAGTCAAATGAAATGAAGCTTTGATGAAAATGTGAATCTATTAAAGGCAAAATTGTGTGCACTGACCCAAAACACTAATACCTGAAATCACCCCTTGATGACCTGCATGGATTTACTGTCACTGTGTGCACTGAGCTAGTGAAAATTTGTTGAGAAGGAAATCTAAGGGGTATGACACTGTGAACACTAGAGAGGTAGGTTTGATTTTGTGTCATCTCACTGACGTGATTTAAACAAAATGACACTCTGCAGAGTCTCATATGTATATATATATACACACACATATGTGTGTGTATTTATGTTATTGCAGGTTCTACTTGTGTTGCACTGCATGGTGTATAACTGTGTTTTATAGGAACAGAGCGTTAAACACGCAGTATGTTCACACCTATTTCAAGATATACTTGTATTGTGGAAATACATATTTACTGGCAGGGTTGAACTCAGCAGGGGTGCTGAGAAATATACTTCACAGACAAAGAGCTTTTTAGTCCAAACGAGGTGTCTTGATTGCAATACAATAGCCCTCATCAGGGAAACAGAAAGTCTGCAGATCCAACAGCTGGCCTTACTATTTATAGCTCTGGGAGGGAGTTTTTTTTTTCTCACAGTTATGCTGTGGATTGCCTGAGAGCTTAAAATTCACATAAATGTTTTGCAGTTGTATTTGCTAAAAGGTGTTGATTTACAGGTATTCAGAGCCAGAAAAGTCACCTTGATATCCCCTGCTACACTAAATATTTACTAGTCACAGTCTGTTATTTTGATGTGTATGAGTTGTGTAGATTATACTGAGAGCAGGTCTGAAAGATGAATCCAATCACAAAATGTTCCCTTTTCTATTTAATTCATCTGATTAAGCCAACAGGTTCACGTTTAAACACCTAAATGCTCCGCATGTGATTGCATCTCCATCTAGTGGGCAAGGTGTGAACTGCTGACTGATTCCAGTAGTGAAGACTCCCGCAGGATGCTTCCCATTTTTTCTTACTTTGCAGTAGTTAAAAAAAAAACCCATAAAAAATGCAAAACAGTACTTTCAATATTTATTTCAGTTTGTTGCATATTCAGTTAAATATTACTTTTAGTTTAGTGAAGTTTGGACTATTCCAGCACATCATTTCCATGCACTGAGCTGAGAGTTCTGGTCATTTTTATGCACTAAATTAATTTTTTGGGTGAGTTTTGCTGGTGAAAAAGCCAAATGCCTATGCACATTGCTACAGGATGTTATGAAAAACACCAAAACTGTGCACCAAGCAAGAGTTCAGCACATCATCTGCAGCTATTAAGTATTATAATTTGCTTTCAACTAATTACTCTCAATATTTCTTGCTAAATAATGTAATTGCCAAGTCAACACACATAAAGACGTTACTTATTTTGTTTTCATATATGTGCAACTTAAGCTTTATTTAAAACAAACAGATAAAAGATATGCATGTAAGATGGGGAAAAAATAGGAATAATAACATTCAAGTAGACTGAGATGTAAAGTATATCTGAGAATCCATCAAAGATCGGGGCACTAGAAATACTAAGAAATACTAAGTCACAAACCATAGTCAGACTAAGTACTTTAAGTAATAGGGATTATTTTGAGTTTACATCATTACTGTAGAGCTCTGAGGTTCTTCCAGACCTGATTTGGATGGGACCATGCCCCGAGCCTGACTTCCTTCAAGACTCTTTTCCTTCCTAAAGGAGAAAGCTTATTTATAAGTTAGATGGCACTCATGTTAAATTAAATTTTGTGTGGTTCAGAGGATCAAGCATGGGAACTGTCACCTTAAGAGTTATTCAGTTTGGATCACTGAACACCAGCACCCATGAGGAAGAGAAGTGTCTTACAACAGGCTGCTTTTGCTTATTTTGTTTGGGAACATAATCTGTCAGTATTACCTCTCCAAGATCCGAGTTTAGATTAGATAGAACTTTATTAATCCCTCGGGTGGGTTCCTCTGTCCAAGTACATATTTTTAGTTTTTAGTTTTTCTTTTTTTAGTTTAGGTTTTACTAAAAAAAATGTTGTTGTTGTTGTTGTTTTTTTAAATATAATAGCAGGATGGCTGATTTAAGAACTTCATAAGAGGTAATACAACTTTGCTGTGTTAACTCACAGCGCGTTTAAGCTAGGTTTCATATTTGTCTAAAATCGACTTTTTATTATTTATTTATTTTTCACTCCTAGTTTTAATTTGCTTTTAGTTCCCTGAAATAACCTGTCTCAGTGCCACCCTCCATTGGCGGTTTCTATGTAAAAAAAATAAATAAATCTTTGGTTACCCTTGACTACACTACCCATAGTGCACCATGGTATGCGTCCGTTACTGTGATTGGTCCAGGTTGGTTAGAGACGTTGTTGAACTGCAGGTCGGAGAGAAAGAGCAAACAGAGGACCTCGGAGTTGTCAAATGGTTGAACTATGGCTGCGCCTGTTAGCATGTGCTGCCGTCTGTTTGACAGAAACGGCGCTTTGACACGTGTTAGGAAACTGTTTGCACGGCGCGTGAACAGAAGCATCGCGCGGAGCTGTTCCGGTGTTACGCACGAGGAAAATGAACTTGAACTCACAGACTCGACTATAGCTGGTTCCAACTTCAAAACCAGGGCAACACAGGTAAGTCAACCTCCAAAACAGTAACACAAGCCGGGCCTGCAGCTAAGATTGTCCTGTCTGTGTTGAGACGCAGGCTGAGTGAAACCTTTAAGGAGTGAAGGTGAGAAGCTTATAACCTGAACAGGTTATAAACTGGGCCCAGGAAACACTAAACTAAGGAATAAATATTAAACCAAACGGTTATCCATTATGACAGCGTGGCTGTGATATAAAAGGGGGTCATGGGGTGTATTTTTGGCGTGATTGTGAGAACCAATCAGAGGGGGGAAACAACACCTCACCTGCCTTACGTTTGTCACTGCTTTGTAGTTTTACATACTTGATATCATGTGATAAGATAGATGTGATAGCCAGCATGTTGCAAGTAGGAAAAGAATTGTTATAAACTAATAAAGTTGGTTGAGATTAAAAGTAATTTTTTCTATTTGGATTGAAGTTGTGCTTTAGATGATACAGATTTTTGAATCTTTTGGACCGTTTGGAGGCCCAAAGTATAAACAGTTTAAGAGGGTGTTATTGAGATAGTCTACTTCTTTAAAATATTGTTTCTACCTCATACATACATACTCTATCCATGTGCTTGATAATCAGAGATGATTGACAGAGCAAGCATGCTCCTGAATGTCCAGTAGTCAAATAACAGAGTAGCATTCATTGTTCATCTTCTTGCTGTGTCTCTCTGGGTTGCAGGTGTATATTACATCAGTGACTATAATAATTATGATATGGCAATAATAGGGAAAAATTGACTAAAGTGTGCATAAGTGGCTTTTATATGAAGCTTTTTACCTTAAGAAACAATGAAGGGACTTGGGAAGGTCTAAAAAGATCAGTGCAGTTAAATGATCAGCCTGTTGATTAACAGAGTGTCTCCGAGCAACTGCTGAGTCACTGGTTTGCTTTTACACTGGTAACTTTTGACATAACCCCAGGTGCTCATGAGTGATGGGCAAAGGTCAGGAGCTGGGACACAGATTTGGCTTCAGCTGACATTATTGTGTCTCTGGCATGATGGGACTCAGAGGGGCTGTTGTGTTTGATTCAAAATAAGACTGCAGTGATGCCAGGGTATATAGTTTGATCGGTGTCTTTTCCTGGTTCTTTTCCTCCCCAGAAGAGGCTCAGGGACAACAGCATACTCCCCTTTTCAGCATTCTTGACTGACAACTTTGGCCGCAGGCACAACTACCTACGAATCTCCCTCACAGAAAAATGCAACTTCCGCTGTGAGTAAATGTTTATTTTCTGTGGATCCTATCAAGAAACCATTGTTACATTCCCAGCCCACTAGTGGAGCAACATTATTAGACCAAGTTAACCATCGTAATTAGTAAACCTTTCACAGAAGTGCACTAAAATGCCCAAATTCTGCTGACCTACTGGAGAAAGAAGGTTTTTCTTTCCCGCACAGTAGAGTTTTTGGTTTGTCCCCTCGTTCCCTTTTATTTAGTTGTGTTACTTCAGTATTTATCGTAGTAAAAGAAGGAATTCTCGCTAATGTAGGCTAAAATACATCTTTCATCTTTCTCATTTCTAGGTCAGTACTGCATGCCAGAGGAGGGGGTAAAGCTCACACCGCGGGGCCAGCTGCTATCCACCTCTGAGGTGCTGACCCTGGCTCGCCTCTTCGTCCAAGAGGGGGTGGACAAGATCCGCCTCACTGGAGGGGAGCCGCTCATCAGACCTGATGTGCTCCATATTATCAGTAAGAAACAAGGAGAAAATAGTTTGTGCAGGCTTTTTTTTTTTTTCAATAATAAAACAACTTGGAAGCTGTTTTGAGTCATTTCACACTTTTTTAACACTTTGGATCAGCTTGTAGCAAACATAAACTTGCTTTCTTCAGTTTACCGTATGACTAAAATGATGTAGTGACACTGTTTTCAGAGGAGCAAGTCAGCTTTGGCAACCAGGCGACCGATGATTCATGTGCTAACTCTGCTGACTTGACTGCAGCTGAAGTGAAGAGAAGCAATTTTGCATGCATGCCTTCAGTTTAAGGGTTTCTGTGGAAGGGGAAATGATTTGTTACACCACAGTTGTGTTTTTGGTCTAATGATGTATTATTGCATCATTTGAATTTTACAGCCTGATTTTAAATTAAACTTTGTAAGTGAAGCCTCTGCAGCAAGAAAAAGCCTGTCGTGAATGAATGAGGGTGTGTGGCAGGACTAGTGGGTCAGGTCTTTTTGGAAAGAGGACCATTGATTGCCACTAGCTGTGTGTGAGGCTCATGAGACTTCATGCATAACATGGATTTGGTTGCACTAGTTATTTCAGGAAGCAAGAGGATCGCTTGAAATAACGGAATATAATTTATTGAAGTGTGGAGTTTGACTAATAAATGATTTGCCGACATTGGTAGGAAGAAATACACAACAGTATTGCTGATGGAGATTAGAGTTGGAGACTCTGATGAGGCACATTGAGCATCCAGAATAAAGGAGGAGGCAGAACACATGAATGAGAGTCTGAAACGACTGCACTGAGATTTAAAGCTCAAGGAACAGAGGCTGAATGTCTCACAGGAGGAGCGTGAAAAAGCTGCAGTGAAGCTGGTTGTGTTGTTTTTGTTGGCTCACAGAACCGCTGATGTGGCGTGTACAGTTATAAACAGGATCCACAAAGATCTACTGGTTACAAGTAATGGTAGTTGGCTAGGTTTACTGGATGGATTTAGTTGCATTGTGGTGCTGTGTGTGTTTGTGAGTTCATTCTGCATTATCTTTGCTTAATGTCAAAATGACCAGAGTAACTGTACTAGTTATGGATAATAAAGACTTTAATAACCCATAAATTTATTTAAAGAAGTTTTATCATTGATAGCCATTCAAGCAAGGAAACATAATTTCCCGGTGGCACAATATGCTGCATAGTAACAGATAAAGATATCCACTTTACATGGCTAAAGATTTTGTTCTGTTGTCATGCTGTAATGATTGATTTATGTATGGATAAACTCATCTGTTATATAATATTTCAACCTTAAAGGTAAAAGTTCACTTGTTGCATTCATCAGTTTTCTCTCATTCTGTCTTGCCTTTCCATTTCTACTCTGCAGCTGAGCTCAGAAAGTTGGAGGGCCTCAAGACTATCGCCATGACAACCAATGGCATGAACTTGGCTCGGCTTTTGCCAAACCTTAAAGACGCCGGATTGGACCTGATTAACATCAGCCTGGATTCATTAGTTCCTGCCAAATTTGAGTTTATTGTCAGACGGAAAGGTATGGAAGCATCGTCAGTGTATCAATGTCAGCTGTGTGAGACATGATCAGAACACCAATAGTGTGCGTAGATTGAGGAGGGGAAAAAAGCGACATCACGAGGCTATAGCTGATTGACGCTGTAGTTTAGGAGTGTATAACCACAAAAGTGTCAGATGGTCAGTGAGATATTTTCTAAATCCCTACGTCTTTAGAAAACACGAAGGAGATTGTGATCTGGTGATGGTGGAGGCCATTTGAGTATAATGAACTCATTGTGATGTTTAAGATGCCAGTTTTACATGATTTGAGCTTTGTGACGTGGTGTGTTATCCTGCTGGAAGCAGCGGTCAGAAGATGGGAGATATCACTGTCACTGTGGTGATAAAGTGATGGGTACTGAGCAACCGTACTCGGACAGGCTGTAGTGTTTAAATAATGCTCATTTGGTGCTAACTGGCCCAAAGTGTCCCCAGATAATTGGCTGATTGACTGACTTCAGATGAAATTAAACGTATTTAATATTCTTCGTGTGTGGCTAAAAACTCTCACAGTCTTTATGTATGAAACTGTTCCTTTTTTTTTAGTGTTTCCCTAGTTCAGCTTTTTCTTCTAGTGTATGATAGGTATAAATCAGTGTAGTTTTTGTTGTGGGTCCATCCCACAAGCTTAGGGAAGAAGGCTGTAAGCTGTAAACACTGCAGGTGACAGCAGGGCAGAGCTATGGGTGGTTGGCTCGTGAAAGGCAGACACAGATGGACTAACTGAGATTAGGACATGAAGAAGAGCGGAGAAAAGAAAACTGGATTTACAGCACCTGCCTTCTTGTGTTTGTAATAGAAGTTACTGTTGAAATCGTGTTTCTTTTCTTTATTCAGGACAAATTGCAGTTATGCAAACTGTAAATAAAACACAAGCCTCATCCTACATAAAGATCCTGCTTTGATTTAATTGTTTTGAGCAAGTGAAAACAAATAATGACTCTGACCTTGACAGTCTGCTTTTCAAAAGCTTGAGCTGCTGTGGAGGGATTACATGTTTCTATACAAGTGGTTTGTGGTGAATTACGGACATTAAAAGGTGGAGGAGAACAGACAAGGCCGAGCTTTTCGTGTGGAAGCACCACTCATTTCAGAAACCACAAAGCTTAGTTCTGATCTTTGTTTTTGTTGTATGATTCAGTGCATTTTTATTTCTCAAAACCTGCCTCCAATCACACACCATTCTCAACTTTAGTTGTATTTTAATAACATACAAACTTTACTATTATTATTTATTAGTAGCATTACTAATGCACCTAATGTAAAATGTTCATCTTAGTCACATTTCATTTTCTACTTGCCTTTTCCAGGGTTTCACAAAGTAATGGAGGGCGTTGAAAAGGCCATTGAATTGGGCTACAGTCCTGTGAAGGTATTTGTTCATTTTCATTCATTATTAAGTCTCTGTTATGGAAAATATCCCCACTACGATTCAGTGTCTTCCTTTTTGTTACTGTTTAACATTTTTGCAGTTTATATATAAGTATTAAAATGGGTAAGATTTAATTGCAGGACAAGTGTTTCACAGTTGCAGAAATGTAGCAAGTGCAGAGTGCCCAAAAACTCTGAGATAATCAGCTAATATCAGTGAGAGAAAACAATAAAATCATGGTTAGGAAAGGTGAATTCCCTGTGATGACTTTCATATGGTGTTTTTGGATAATGTGTCAGAGTGAAAGCCTGGAACAAGAGAACAACAAGGGGCTGAGGATGGAGCCTTGGGGACCGGCATTTGTACTGATCTAAGATCAATCCTACTGTGGCGCTGAGAAGTCAAATGCACTGAAACCTAAGCAAGTAGAAATGTTGCAAAAGCTGCTCTGCTCTGGATCAAACCACCAAAAATGTTGGTGGTTTGATCCAGTTGGCATGCCAAATATCCTTGGGCAAGATACTTACTCCAATTTGCTCTCCGATGTATCCATCAGAGTATGAATGTGTGTGAATATTTGATAGAAAGCACTTATGTAGGAAAAGAACAGAAATAAGTGCTTGTATGAATGGGTTTGAATGAGTGAATGAGGCAAGTCATATAAAACACTTCGTGTGCTTAGTTAGTAGTAGAAAAATGCTGCATATGAATCGGTCCGTTAACCAAAATCAAGCAATGACCACTATTATGAGCAATTCCTTTTACTTGTTCATAATGAGAGACACAAACTGTTTTGCAGAGTGCTTTGGAAGTTGTCAGATTTTAGTTGTAGTTTAATATGTTTCCTCCAGTAGCTTCTCGTAACCTGATTCCCCTTTAGGAAGAGTGTGATTTTTATAAGGCTTCTCTGTTACAGGAGTTTAGGAATGCCAGCATAAAATAACATTATATGTCCATTATCTAGTCTAAAAAATTGTTGTTCTTCATTCTGTTTTGCTAAGCTGTGCGGTTAGCTTGATGCCACTGACTGCATGTTGATCAAGAAGTGTTGTGGTTCAGCCTTGGGTCAGTGAAGGACCTTCATTTGTAGATCTTTAAGCATCAAATGAGTCACATTAAATCTGCTAGACAGTTAAAATAAAACATGATGCTGTTTTAAACTTTCACGTTATTTATCAACTCTTTAAGAAGGCAAGAAAAAGCTTATGTGGACGGGTCTCCTTTTGAAAAATTTAGACTTTAAAAATATAGTGAATTATTCCAGTCATTAACATCACTGGATGAATTCTCATGTATAGTACATCAAAGTCTTATAAGGCTGTTATTATTGTGTTACATAATTAAATATTGGCCCACACATCTTCAGTAAGTCATTTTCTGTCGGTTGTTACATAACCAGCTTGTTAGGAAAATAATGGCTCAGTAATCAGAGGCCTATTGTTGTTCACTTCTCTTTGTAGATCAACTGCGTGGTCATGCGAGGCCTGAATGAGGATGAGCTGCTTGATTTTGCAGCACTGACAGAGAAGAAGCCTCTGGAGGTGCGCTTTATAGAGTACATGCCCTTCGATGGTAAGTGCTCACGCCCCATGAAGTTTCAAATGCTCGAGCAAATGTTTTAAACATCCATTGTTTAAACCCACACTGCCTGGTTCGTCTCCTCTCTGCAGGCAACAAGTGGAACTTTAAGAAGATGGTGAGCTACCAGGAGATGCTGGACCGCATCAAGCAGAAGTGGCCCGACCTGGAGAAGCTTCAAGCTGGACAGACAGACACAGCCAAGGTCAGTGTCTCCAACTGTACTAAATTACTTTGGAGATGAAATCCTGACAAAGATGGTTGATTAATTATTATATTTATACTGAAAAATAAAAAGTCATGTTTCTTGTGTTCCTCTGTGCATTTTCTCCGACACATCCGAGTCCCTCTGATCAAATAGACCTGCAGGATTTTTCTATATTTCTGCTTAAAACATCATCAGATTATAACACAAGTCCTAAAAAGCAAAAAAGAAGACAACCCAATTAAACACATTAAACTAAAACATCCAAGTGAACAAAGTTTCAGGTGTCGGAGTCCAATGAAGAACTTTTTGTCACTGGTTGTAACATTTGAAAGTATATTTCTCACTTTTTTCCCTGTTTTGAAACAGACATTTAAAGTGCCAGGCTTCAAAGGTCAGCTGGGCTTCATCACCTCCATGTCCGACCATTTCTGTGGCTCCTGCAATCGTTTACGCATCATGAGGGAAGCAAAGGACACCTACAGGAGGAAGGTGAGCAAAGCGTTGGGAGGCTGTATAGGGCTTCGGAGTTGACGTCACGCCGCAATGCATTGTGGGAGCGCAGCTCCATTTTCGGGGTCTACGATCCAAACAAATACACTGTATTGGAACGGCGACTACGACAAGAAACACGCTTAAAAGCAGCTCGAAAGAAAACGGACGGTATAGAGATCGATTGCGTCCAGAGGCGAAGCAGCGGTATTTGAAAAAAATTGAGTGCATCGCAAATCTGGACCCATACGACATACGGCAGTGGAGTAAAGACCCAGACGACTTACCGCCACTGTCCTACCCCGATATCTTCACCTATCTTGTTTGTGGAGTAAGTGCTTACACTGCGAACCAGTTTCGTAATTACAAGTCACTGGAGGCGCATATCCAATTTACAAATGGCTGGGTGCAAGATTTGGCTATTTTCAAGCCGCCAAAATCTGAGTACGTCGTCATTCATACTAAGGTACGTCAGCTGGAGTGCATCGAGTGACATAGCCATTTTCCACCCCCCACCATAATTAATGTTAAATCTTTATCATTGAACTGTTAAAATATCGTTATCATATTATGTGCCCATAATTGTATAGTAGATGCAAATTAACACATTGATAATCGGGCAAATTATAAACGCCAATCAGTGTCATAGGCAGGCTTCCCTACATTTGTGCGAAACAATTAGCGAATCGTTACATAGCACATATGTCTGCAAAGTCACTCCATTCGATGTTTGATCGCAATTTCTATAACTTCCGAGACCATCAACGGTAATATTATTCAGCTATAAAGTGTGATAAGAACATATTTAGAACTTACCGGAATGAAAATGTCGTGAGCACACCAGCTGATATCTGGAGACGTAACAGAACTTGATATCAGCTCGTCTCACGGCTGCTATCCAGGCTAGACGCCTTCGTTTGGTAACATCCGATACATGAGCTCCTTCATGTTGCTTCCAGGTTGGGAAAGCATAAAAAGACAATCCAACCTTATTCCCGTGCCGGTCGTAAGATCGAACATTGCAGCCGAGCACACAGCAAGTACGAACCATGGCTATGCTATCGCTCCTAGCTTAGACCCCCAAAATGGTGAATCGGGCCAAAATCCTTTCCACGCCCACCCCCGTGACATCACGCTCCGAAGCCCTATTGTCCTATGGGCGGAGCTTGTGGGCGGCAGGTTGTGGAGCAAAAAGGGTGGTTTGTGATTTGTTAATAAGTGACAGAATCTTTTGCTGTTACTTGAGTTTTTCGTAATTTTGATGAGAATCTTATTGTTTTTATACATTTTTCTTCACCTTCATGTATCAGTGTCCCTTTTTCTTCACCATTAAGGTCCTTTGATTCTCCTTCTGGTCATTCCCTTTGTTTTTGAGACAAAACTTTTAACTAATTAGCATCAATATACACTGAAGGTGTAGAGGAGGCTGCATACACTTCACTCTGAAACACTGATTTCAGTGGTTTGCACCAAGCAACAGGATACAAGCACAACTACAGAGCTGTTGCAGGCGCTATGGTCAAAGTTCAGCAGAATGTAACTTTGACCACTGTGAACTATGACGACTGCCTGTCTACCCAATAGGAAGATGGCATCTCTTTCTACTGGTAAGGTCAGCTACAGGCCATCTCTGCCTTCAGCTGAATATGGCAGAAGGTCTTTTATTGGCCACAGTGAGCTGCAGAGCAAAGTAGAGGAAATGTTTATTATGATGCATTTGAATTCATTAAATTATACAACATTTGTTTGGGTTTGTATCGAGACCAATGTCATAGACTGAGTATTTCTTCACCTCTCACCTCTTTTATATCCCCACGTGTTACATACCACTACAGCATGTCATTGAATTGTGTCTAATCTCTCCCTTAGTCTGTTTTGACCTGCTTTATTTCTGCTCTTTCTGTTTTGTCTTCTCTTTCTTCTTCTCTCTTTCCCCTTACCCCAGAACCCGTCACAGCAGCAGATGGCTGCCTCTCCCTGACCCTGTTTAAAAGGAAGTTTTACCTTCCCGTCATCTCAAAAGTGCTTGTTCATAACAGATCACTTGATTGTTGGGATTTTCTCTAAGAATACTGTCGAGTCTTTACCTTACAGAATAAAGCACGCTATTGCTGCTGTTAGCTTAATATAAAAAGTGGGTTATTCTCCCACCATCTCTACTGATCTATTATTAAATTCTTAAGCAATTTTTGATATTAAAGTGAACTTTTTACAGACTCCAGGGAGCCATTTAGTTAACTGTTTGGTGTCTATTCTTGGATTTGGACTGCATTGCATTTGAGAAAACAGCTTTTCACTCTTTCCCGTCCGTCTCCTCTCTCAGGTGTGTTTGTTTGGTAACTCAGAGGTCTCCCTCAGAGATGTCTTACGCTCTGGCGCGTCCGATGAAGAGCTGCTGCAAATTATTGGTGCCGCTGTGGGCCGGAAGAAGAAACAGCATGCAGGTAGAAATCAATACATCATACAATTTTATGATTATGCGCACAGATTGTTGTAATATTTGTAATTTATCCCTCTTTCTCTCTTCAGGCATGTTCAGTATCTCTCAGATGAAGAACAGGCCTATGATCCTCATTGGTGGGTGACACAGCTGTACGTACAAAGACCTCATTCATGTTTCTTTAATGTTTTGTATTAGGATTGGAGCAGATCCACATCCATGCACTTTCCTTCTTAAAGATCAGAGAATGTTGAATCAAAAAGTTCAGCTATGGCTGAACTTCACACTGCTGGGCTGCCAACTAGTGTTTTAGAAGTGGTTGCAGCCAAAGTAGTTATGTCAGTATTCTTGACTCATTTATTTTTGTTTTCCAGCAGGTACCACATCTCAGACGTTCCTGCCAAAGCTACAAGACAGCAAGAGGGCTTTCCCCATTAGTTCCCAGCTTAAAAATGACACGTTCC